GCTCTGAGATCATCTCTCCCTGTTGCGCTCAGGCCCCGTCTCCCTCCTTCGCGTCTGGTTCTCGTCCTGCTGCCGCCGCGCCTGCCTTTCTCCACATTTGCTCCGACGGAGTCACTGCCTTTCCGAATCGGAGACGCTTCTAACCGCCTGCGTTTTATTTAAAACATCGACCGGCCGTGTCGTTAAAACGCCGCTCCTGCCCAGTGCCTGCGTCTCCTCCTCCCGGAGGCCCGGTGAGATGTGCGTCCTCGCTCCGCGGCCGGCTTCTCGGCCCCTCTCAGTCCCGCCGGCCCATCTCCCCGGGGCGTTCTGTCCCACGTTCCCCTGTGCGGTCAGCTGACCGTCCCTCTCCTCCCAGCGCTGTCCACCCAGGGCCACCCCCACCCCGGAGCCGTTGGTTCCAACAGTGAGGTCTCCCACGGCAACGGCTGTCGGTGCCGCCCAAACACCAGCTCATCCTGCGTCTCCAGATCTCTCTTTCTTGGGACACATGGCTGGTTTGGGTCTTTCATCCAGTTTTGTTTCTTTTTAAAAAAATGTTTTGATTGATTTTTACAGAGAGAGGAAGGGGGAGGGAGAGGGAGATAGAAACATCGATGAGAGAGAAGCATCATCCACCGGCTGCCTCCTGCCCGCCCCACCCTGGGGATCGGCCTGCCACCGGGCATGTGCCCCGACCGGAGACTGAACCGGCGACGTCCTGGCTTCTGGGTTTACGCCAGCCACTGCGCCACCTCAGGGGCCATTTTCGTTTCTTTGTTTTTATTTTTTCCATCTTTTTCCCGCCGTCTCTTGCACTTAGCGCCCTGATCGCTGTGTATGTTGTGACTTTCACTCGCAGCGTCTCCCTTCTCCGAGGCCGTGGACTGGAGTCCAGCACGCAGCGTCACCAGGGGCTGCGCTCACTCCCGGCGCCTCCCGCCCACCCCCTGACATGACTGGGGGAGGGCCCCACACAGGGGAGGGGTGCACGGAGTGGCCTGGGGGGCACAGGGGAGGTGGCTGTCGGTCTAACCAGGAAGCAAAGGTGATTGGCTGGGGGTGGGGCAGAGCCGCTGCAGGCCCCCGAGACCTCAGCAGGTTGACGTGACCCCACACTCTCTCCAGGTCTCTCTGCTCCCGTGCATCTGCCCCTGTTCCCAGAAGCCCC